TCACGTTGCCTGACGCTCAGTTGGGCAGCCATGCATCCAACAGCAGGGCACTTGCAGCTCAGCGTCCGAAGTTCCAGTGCCACGACTTTCCAACACCTGGGTGCGGGAGCGGGTGTGGGTGCGAGTGCAGATGCCAGCCCCTGAAAAGAGCGGGTGTTGTCCCGGGTTAGGGTTATGTATAGGTATTTGACTTATTTGGCAAATATCCAAATAAATATGCAACCCAGCCAAATAAATCAAATACTGGGGCGTGCCAAGCCAACCAAATCAAATATGGGTTATTATTTGATTTGTGAGGAGCCGATTCGGCTCGGTTTGGAGTCGTCGCGAAAAGGTCTCAGCGACGCCCATGATATAAACGAGACTCAGGATCACCACGGAGATGGAACAGGCGGTTACCCGCCGGCGCCAGATAAGCTCAGACGGTTCCTGCATAGGAAAGAGGAAAAACCCAGACGAGGAAGGAACGGTCAGGGGTTCGTATAGGACGAAATCAGAATCCAATGTTACTGGTAGGTATTGAGGATGTGTGACCTTACATTGGCTAGTATCTCTAAGAAGAAAAATAGCGGGGAGTTCTACCGGTATAATGTTCGATTGTATCTAAGGCCTTTAGCTGATTAGACTCGTCGCATTTGCTGATATATAACAGCTATCCTTACTCGCTGTTTCACCTCGGGGGAGGTGTACTCCCTGTTTAATCGTCTGAGGCCTCCGTCTTAGCTCTTGGCGCTTACACCGTGCATGTTCACGTGGTCGGATGTTCTGTTCGGTACTTCTGGGTGCCTCTCCATCTTTCAATCGGCCCACCACCGCCTTTCCTCCGCACCATCACACACAGGCAATACCACCACGAGTTCTGTCTGCCCTGCTTGCCTGCTCCCCGTGACAGAAACATTACATCTGATAGGCACAGGATGACGAGATCTGGGATTTAATTGAGGGTTGAGATACACAAGTTAACGCGCTCACAGCCCAGCGCCTTCTCATAGCCTCGGAGTGCCCCTTCATCTATGGCCTCGTTCTGAGCCGGCCATGATTTGAGATTAGCCCTTAAGAGGTCACTTCGAGTTTTGGGTGCATCGGAGGGTGCCCTGCGGTGCGGAGTGGATGCTTCAGTTGGATGCAAGGCACGGGGGGGGGGGTTGATGGATGGAATTTATTTCGCCCGGAGGCGCGAAGCCTAAAGGGCCTTGGCACGCTAACTACATCCAATTCCTTGACGTTCAACCATCAACTCGTACAAGCCCTCTACTCTCTCCCCTTTTCTCACGCCACCTGTTGCCTCTTGACTTAGTTTAGCAGATCGACTTGGAGGCTGCGTTCTCCAAGTGTTCAGCGTCCTATCTTCAGCAGCCAAAGCGGGATCTGCTGGCTGAGGCTGTGTAGTGTTAGTGGAGTTCCGCTACTGTGATTGTCCCAATCTTCGTTGTTCCTCGTCAAGATCCAATCTCCCTGTCGCCATTGCGTA